GCCCACCCACCCACTCTGGTGCCCCGCTCAGGACTGCGCTCCTGCCGTGTCCTCCCCTGCCCCCCACTCACCTTCCTCCAGGCTGTCCTGGTCATCCTGCTGCTCGGCGGCTGGGAGCCCTCGAGGGCCAGGAGGCACTTGGCAGGGGGGCGAGAGCCTCCAGGCCTGGTCTTTGGCATGGGAGTCCCCCACAGGGGCCGTTTTGGGGCTGAGGAGGGGGGAGTGGGGCGGGAGGCCTACACGATGCCCGGCCCCTGGAGGCTTTGTGGTTCCTGAGAAGGCAGCTGCCGCCCGCTGGGCTCCTGCCCGTGGTGGCTGGAGGCCCGGAGAGCCCGAGGGCTCCTTGCCCTCCACTGAGTCTTCCCTGGGGCCCTGGCAAGGGCAGGGAGCAAGGAGTGCCTCTGTGGGGACACGGGGAGTAGAGGGCTCGGGGCCGAGGACCCTGTCCCGGGGCACGCTGGGCGGGCCTCTGGCAGGGCTCTCCAGGGACTGTGCTGGGGACGAGCTGGGGGCTCCTGGTGCCACCTGCGCCCACGTTCCACTTCCCGGGCCCGGCACGGGCTCCCGCTGCAGACAGGGTGCTGGTGCGTGTGGGGTAGGCTCTTTGGGGCAGCCCCTGCCTGGCCTGGGTGCGGACCTCAGTGGGGACTCTGCACGGGAGCCCTGCCCGGCCTCCGAGGTCACAGCAAGGGGAAACCCGAGCCCCTGGTTTGCTCTTTGGCCTACCTCAGGGTGAGCGGCAGGATGTGCCCTCCTAGCCCCCTGGGGTGCTGGCTCAAGGCCCCCAGCCTGGCAATTCTCACCCCCTAGGGCCTCCTTCGGGGCTGAGCAGGGCCCAGCTGTGTGGGCAGTGCGCACACGGGCCCCGGGATGGGTTCCCTGCTCAGGTGCCAACAGGACCTCCACTGCTTCCTCTCCAGCAGAGACAGGAGTGGGTGGGGCCATGGCCTCCCCGGCAGGCTCAGGGCGTTCTAGGGCCTCTCTGGCAGGTTCTGGAAGTTCTGGGGCTGCTACGATAGGCCGAGGGAGTTCCAGGACCTCTGTGGCAGGCTCAGAATGTTCCAGAGCCTCCGTGGCAGGCTCTGGGTGTTCCGGGGCCTCCGTGGCAGG